AAATATTATTTTTGAGAGTTAGAAATATTTTTTCTTTGAGTGCTATAGAAGTTGTCATCCATAGAGCTTAAATCTTTCAACACTACTTTGCTCAATTGTGTGAGCTTTCATTCTTGTGTTGTAAACTCAATTTCATTTGAGTGTTGTTCTTAAGACTTGTGTGACTCAAGTCTTGTTGTTGTAAGAAAGTGAGGCTTGTGTGATTCAAGTTCTCAAGTTGTACCGGTTTTTCAAGCACCCGTTGAAGCTTGAAGATTAGTAGGACTTTCGAGAGAGTCTCTCGGAGGACTGGACTAGCCACGAGGTGGTGAACCAGTATAAATCCCGGTGTTCTTCTTTCCCTTACTCTCCTTACTTTTTCCTGCGATAATTTTTACGAAAAACGTACATTCTTGAAAACAACTCTATTCACCCCCCCCTCTAGAGTTGCACTTTTGTCTAACAATAACGCCATAGAGCAATACTGAGTTTAGTGAACCAATTACGAGGAGATTGACAGAGCCCATATAAGGATTTACGAAGACGACAAACCTTCCCGGGAAATAACTGGGTATAACCTGGAGGAATTTTCATATACATCTCATCATGTAAATCCCCATGCAAAAAAGCATTATTGACATCCAACTGATCAACCTGCCAACCCCGAGCAACTGCAACAGATAACAAGACACGAACAGTGGCTAACTTTGCAACAGGAGCAAATGTATCAGTATAATCAACCCCAGGCTCTTGATGGTTACCCAAAACAACAAAACGAGCCTTATCACGTTCCTTAGTACCATCAGAATGATACTTAGTCCTGTACACCCATTGACAACCAAGGGCCCGACGATTAGGAGGAAGATCAACAATATCCCAAGTGTGATTACGCTCCAAAGCTAGATACTCAGCAGCCATAGCTTCGCGCCACGTAGCAAACTGAATAGCCTCACAAAAATTACGTGGTTTCGAGGTGGCATCAATTGCTCCAAGAAAACCTTTGTACCATTCATGCAACTTATTATAACGAACAAAGTTAGTAATAGGGAACCGAGTACCCGATTGTGACGAACCTAAGGAGACTGGAATCGGAGAGACGGTCTTTGCGGAATTGAGAACATAGTCATTAAGATGAGCTGGACGACGACGCGTACGCGGTGGAAGAGAAGGAACTACTGCCGGTGGAGAAGTGGTCTCCACCGTGGATGACGTGGGTTGGCGTCGTCTGAAGAAGAAGCAGGAGAATCGGTCGAAATAGGTAAAGAGGATGGGGACGGTAACTGAGATGTGGATGGGGATATGGGGGTGTTGGGTACGGGAATGGGAAAATCCTCCGATGACGGTGTGAGGATAGGTTCTGAGGTCGCTGACGGAGTAGGGGTAGCAAAAGGAAAAATGGACTCATCAAACGAAAGATCCCGCGTGTGGAAAAATTGGTGTGTTTCGAGATTGTAAACTCGCCAGCCTTTGGTACCATAAGGGTATCCAACAAACATACATTTGACACTCCTTGGAAAAAATTTATTTTTGGGTTTGGGAATAGGATGAACAAAACAGAGACACCCAAAGACACGAAGATGACTGAGATCCTGAGGCTTGGAAGAAAGGATTTCAAGAGGAGACTTACCCCCAAGAATTTTCGTGGGAGTACGATTAATTAAATAAACTGCTGTTTTGACACACTCCCCCCAAAACTCAAGTGGAAGAGACGCTTGAAACATGAGTGAACGAGCAACATTTAATATGTGACGATGTTTACGCTCTGCCCGTCCATTCTGCTGAGGAGTACCAACACACGATGTTTGTATGCACACACCCAGACTATCATAATATTGACACAAAGAGGAATTCAAAAACTCTGTACCATTGTCAGAACGGACTATTTTAATAGTTTTAGAGTATTGGGTGTGGATCATCGTAAAACAATGCTTTAAACAGGAAGTGACTTCACTTTTAGATTTAATGAGATACACCCAAACAGCTCGGGAAAAATCATCAACAATAGTCAGAAAATAATGAGCCCCAGAAGATATGCAAGGTGAATAAGGTCCCCACAGATCACAATGAATTAAATCGAAAATAGCATCAACTTTATTATCACTAGAAGGAAATGGTGAACGAGTTTGTTTAGATAAGAAACAAATTTCACAAGTCTGTAATTTTTTGACAACAGATTGTGTTTTATTAGTACCTAAGAAAGGAAGTACATCCACGGATGGGTGTCCTAACCGTTTATGAAGAACAAGAGGATCGATATTTGCTACGAGGGCTGACACTGGAGAGGAAGCAAAGACATACACGCCGTTTCGCAAATCACCCTGTCCAATCACAATCTTCGACAAATGGTCTTGTATTACACAACGATGATCATTAAAAGTTACACAACAAGTAACGTCACGAATTAAACAAGCAACAGAAATCAAGTGGCACTGTAAGTTTGGTACATATAACACATTACGTAATACCAAACTAGATGATAAATGCACACTCCCTTGTTTGACAGCTTGAACACGAGACCCATCAGGGAGACATATAGGTTTAGGAGAAACATCCTCAATATTAGATAAATGAAACATGATTCCTGTCATATGATGGGAAGCACCACTATCAATCAACCACTCACAAGAATGAAAATGCATACCACCATATTGATTATCACGAACTGTATTAGACGACATGGCATATGTGGAAGCAAAATATGGGTGAAAGTTGCTAATTTGGAATTGAGAACCTCCCCCCTGTACGGCTAAATGGTGGCTGAATTGATGATCAAAATTATGCCTCCTTGAAATTATCCCTTAAGATTTGGATCTCCACTTTAATAATTGAAGTTCTCCTCCTTTCAGTTAGGCTTCGCCAAGGACGGTGAACTTCGGCAATTTGAATTTTGACGGATCTGGACGGTTGGGACGGAATTGTGTCGGCTGACCTGGACGGATGGGACGGATGAAGATTTGTTCAGCACTATAGACGGACGAAGATTTTGGCGACCCGATGTCTGGGACAGAGAACCGCGACCGCACAAGGACGGATGATCGCGACTTAGGCCGGCGTCTTGGACGGAGACGCACAACAGAGACAATAACCACCGACCGGAACACGGACGAACAAAACTAGGTTTAGGGAAAATCCCAAGAAAGATGCTCCGATACCATGTAGAAACTATAGGACGTTGAATGCGTTTGTTTCATTGATACAAAACAATATAAATATACATCGTTGATAAAAACGAAGACTCCCTCGGTGATACACACGAGGAGTCCAACCTAACTAGCTCAATGCAATGAATGTTGCTATTACACATAAAATACATGTCCTAACAAGGTACCTCCACGATAATCATTACCGTGCATTTTTTGTGCATGGTTTGCTATTGCAACAAGGTCAGAGGAGGCAGCAGATCTGGTCTGAAGCTCACGTTCACAATCCATTAGAATTGTGGAGAGCTCATCAATGGAGAAATTGTCATTCCTCCCCCGCAACGACCATTCCATGGAGGTGCTATTAGTAATGGCACGTAAAAAACACGTACCAAACGATAACGTTGTTCCAGTCTCCTCCCAGCAGATCTGGTCTGAAGCTCACGTTCACAATCCATTAGAATTTTGGAGAGCTCATCAATGGAGAAATTGTCATTCCTCCCCCGCAACGATTGGTAAATCGGCCGCAACGACCAAAGGTGATGATTACTCTTCCATTTACCAATCGTTGCGGGGGAGGAATGACAATTTCTCCATTGATGAGCTCTCCACAATTCTAATGGATTGTGAACGTGAGCATCAGACCAGATCTGCTGCCTCCTCTGACCTTGTTGCAATAGCAAACCATGCACAAAAAATGCACGGTAATGATTATCGTGGAGGTACCTTTGGTCGTGGCGGCCAATTTAGTTAGTTCAACTCTAGAGCTTATATACCGATTATTTTACTCTTGGATTTCCGATGTGGGATGTACTCTAACACTCCCCCTCAAGTGGACAACCGGGCCATTTTGAATCTAACCGGTTGACCACTTGCAAATGAACTCCCATTCCCTTGACTTTTTTTTATGAGCGCCAACACCTAAAGGACCACGAGCCGCTGGGTATGGACTTCCAGACGAGCAATCGTGTTAAACAGGCCACAGGCCGTTGGGTACAGCCTCCATACGGACAACTGGGCTAAAGACTAACGGGCCGCTAGGAATGAACGTCTAGACGGACACCTTGACAAACGAGGTGGGCTAAAACTGGCTCCGATACAATGATAGAATTTAGGATGGGTAAGGATTACTAGATTTGGTAATAAGACACTTGGGTTGAACCGTATTAAAAGATTGAATCCAATCGATTAGTTAGTTCAACTCTAGAGCTTATATACCGATTATTTTACTCTTGGATTTCCGATGTGGGTAGGCAGGGTAGATCGACCAATGTGAGAAATTGTTAAATTCTTACCGTTACCCAAACGAACTTCATCCGGGCCGCCATAATCCATGAGAGTACTGAGCGAGGACGGATCACTCGCAACATGATGAGAAGCGCCACTATCAACAATCCACTGAGAGTCACACGAGCCGCCACCACCGGGTGAGACTGTCATGTTAGCCGTTGGAGTAGCGGGCGAGCCAAAGCCAACGGAGACATGATGATCCTTTAAAAAGCGTTGAAGCTTACGGCAGAACTTGGTATCCTGACCCGAATAATCACAAAACTGACAATGCCGGCCACCACGATTAGAATTGGTGGAACCACGTCCACGCATGACACCGAGAGAAGCACCAAATTGGCCGCCACGACCAAAGGTACCTCCACGATAATCATTACCGTGCATTTTTTGTGCATGGTTTGCTATTGCAACAAGGTCAGAGGAGGCAGCAGATCTGGTCTGAAGCTCACGTTCACAATCCATTAGAATTGTGGAGAGCTCATCAATGGAGAAATTGTCATTCCTCCCCCGCAACGATTGGTAAATGGAAGAGTAATCATCACCAAGCTGAGACATAATATGAACTGCGAGATCTTGATCAGTGACGGGGCTACCAGCTAAAGCAAGGTCGGACGCAATTCTCGTCATGTCCGTAATAAAAGTTTCAATGGTACGATTTCCGCGGGGATTTTTCGCCAACTGAGATTTTAGCGAAATAATACGCCCACGAGACATGCTGGCAAGACTTGCAGCCAACCGAGAGCACGCATCCGTTGAAGTTTCCGCCAGAGAGATCAAAGGTTGGACAACATCTGTGCAACTGCCAAGAAGAGCGCTGAGAAGAATAGCATCCTGACGGTACCAGCAAGTGTACGCAGGGTTGGGCTGCTTGTGCGCAACGTCTAGGAACGGTGATGGAGCTTTAACGGATCCATCGACATAGCCAATAAGGTCCAAGCCGACAAGAGTAGTCTGGACCTGACGACGCCAAACAAGATAGTTGGTCGTGGTCAGCTTGATCGGGAAGTGCTTAGCAATAGACATGCGAATGAAGGGGGAGACAGATTCTGCAGAAGTCATCGGTTTGTGACCGAAAAGAAACGCAGAGAAGCCTATAGAAAAAAAATTCTGTTTAAAGGAGAGGCTCCGATACCATAAAGGAAATATATTTCATTCACTTAATTCCATAAAGCAGTGTACATGAATTTATACAGAACAAAAGTATTGGATAGCTACACACAACTGCACGATCCTATTCTCAAGACCTATTCTAAAGCTAATGGTTAAATATACGGATAAGTACTAATATGAATAAACAATAATTATTTATCCTTTATATATATATATATATATATATATATATATATATATATATATATAATAATCTATCCATCACATCTTACTTTTACCTATCACATCAAGAGCAAAATTAGAAGTCAACTAAAATTTAATACTTCATTATTTTTACACAAAGTCAAAAGAGTAACACTTTCTTTTACCAAACGGAGGGAGTGTCAAAAAAGCAAACACTAACAAAAATCATGTTCCAAAACAAGACCACTCCCTCATTCTAAAAAGAGGTCACATTGCAGTTTACGCCGTGTTACTATTCTTACCTTATTTTTTGTTCAATTTATTTCAAAATTGAGGCAGGATAAAGCAATATACTCCGTAATAAAATTCATTGACTCCCTATTTAAAAGACTATATCAAAATGGTTTAAAAAACAAAAAGTGGCATAACTATTTTGTTTTAATAAATAAATAATGAAATTAAACTAACGAAAAAAGCTGGAAAAATTCGAGTATTTGAATTACTCCGTATTGAATTATTGTCTTAGTTTGACTTCCCGCATTACTTCATTAGAAAAGTAAGAAGTGGGGAAATATTTTTGGAACTAATTGAATAAAAAAGTGAAAGTGAGATGATTAATTTTGAATGCAAGGAGTAAGAATTGTAAATTATTTCGTGGGACTAGGAGAGTACATAAATTGTACCCCTCCAGTCCTAAAAACATGGGATGTTTCTTTTTTCATTCGTCCCAAAAACATTTCTTATTTCTATTAAAAAGTCACTTTTGCCCCTTACTTTTTGATACCCTACATGTCTCATCATACCTTTTTACTAATAATTTATCAATCAAGTCTATGTTTACCCATCACATCGAAGGACATTTTTAGAAATTTAATACCAAAATACACTCTACTTAAATCTTTTCAAAATCAAAACATCTCATGTTTTTAGGACCGAAGGGAGTATTAATAAGTTGGTTTGAACAATAATTAAATAGATTTGGATAAAAATAATTGGGTTAAATACGTCTTATCTCGCTGTAGAATAGAAGAATTTTTTTTGGTCGCTATAAATTCTTTTTGTTCATACAAAATTTTTTATTTTGAAAATAGCATTAAACTTAATTAGAGCGCACTTCTAATTAGTTGAGATAGCACATTTACTCCATATTCAAATTTTAGTTTTTCATTTCTAATTACCTTTGACACAATTTTTCATGTCCTAAATTATACTCCATCCGTTTTACAAAATTGTTCCGCCTAATTTTTTTTGCACACACCTTAACGCACTTCTACCTCACATAAAATGTCTAAAATCTACAAAATATAATACTAGGATGTTGAATACTCCTTCAGGTCCTAAAAACAGGGGAGTTTTTTTTATTTTTAAGAGATTTAAGAGAAGTGTATTTTGGTTCTGAAGTTCTAAAAAGTCGTTTGATGTGATGGGTAAAAGTGAGATTTTATGGGTAGATTATTAGTAAAATGGAATGATGTGATAGGTAGGGTATGAAAAAGTAAGGAGTAAAAGTGACTTTTTAATTGAAATAAGAAGTGTTTTTTGGAACGGATAAAAAAAGAGAAAAGTTTTCTAGGGCGGAGGGAGTATGAAATATGTGTGCTATCTCAACAAATTATATTCCTTAATTACATTTAAGGATCATTTTCTAAATAAAATATTTTGTAGGGATCATTTAAACAAAAAATAGAGGTACCAAAAACAAAAATCATCTATTTTAATTAGGGAAACTAAAAACATCTTTAGTATCACACCCGTGCGTTGCACGGGTCATTTTTATGTTATTAAATTCAAATTCAAATTATTTTTCAATGATAAAAATGAGATGCAATAAAATATAGAGATTATATTATTTTAAGGTTAAAAACATCATTGTTTTACAAAATTCGAAAGACTTCTTTATAGACTACATTATTGTACAATTTGTGGGGATATTTATAGTATATTTAATTGTAATAGGCTATAGGCTATTATAATTATAATTATAATTATAATAAGAAGAGTTAACTTTTTTCGAAATTGGGTGTAATTATTCTTACCATAATTATTTTTTTTCGAAACTGGGTGTATAATTGTATAACTTACCTTTTTTAATTATTTCCAATTTTCAAAAACTTACTCTTTGCATTTGTATAACTTACCTATATTAAAAACATACACTTTGGATTTGTATAACTTACATTTTTTAATATGGTAATTATTATAAATATAATATTATATTAACTTCCGATGGCTTACCATTTTATATTACTCACGTTAATTATTTATTTTTATTAATATAATTGAAGGCTACCAATTTTACTATCAATGAATAAAAATGGTATTAAAGTCTGCAAAGGTTAGTCATAAGTTTTATTGCAACCAATTAATAATCGTATATTATGTAACTAAGGTTAAAATAATTTTTGGAATGCGATTGCAAGTTTATAACTTACCTTTTTTAATTATTTCCAATTTTCAATACGTTAATTATTATATATATAATAATTATATTAACGTCACGCTTACCATTTTATATTACTCACATTAATTATTATAAAAATAATAGCTATATTAACTTCACACTTACAATACATTAATTAATTATTATAAAAATAATAGCTATTATTATATTTATACCTTTTTAAATAATTATAAATCCACAATTTCAACCACTTACCATTTTAACATCACAATTATTTACTTACCTTTTGGCCATTTTATAATTATTATAAATATAATAATTATAATAAATATTACTACAATTTTGGCTACTACAATTATTAACTTACCTTTTTTAATAAGTTCTAATTTTCAATACGTTAATTATTATATTTATACCTTTTTTAATAATTATAATTTCACAATTTCAGCTACTTACCATTTTAACTTCACAACTATTAACTTACCTTCTGGCCATTTTATAATTATTATAAATATAATATTATAATAAGATTTAATAATCGTAAACCTTTCCTTATGTAATCGTAAACCTTTCCTTATGCGTTCCTTCCATCATTTTTCTCGCTTCTTTCCTTTTTTATTATGTTCACATGAAAAAACACATGGTTTTAAATCTTTACGTTATATCATTCTTTTAAGTTTTCTTTTATTTTTAGGAAAAGTCATTATGTTCTAGTGCTATTTAAGTAAATTTTTCTTTTTAAAACAGTAATTTGCGTATGAATAAATATTGTTTTTCTTGTTATCACGTACTAAAAAAATAACCTCCTTTTTCATATGAATAAATTTCATTTTTATTACATATTAACATAATAATAATATAAAAATTCTATATTTTTTTCACAATTTTTTGCCCTTTTAATCTGTTTACAAAAAAAACAAATGGTTTTAAATCTTTACGTTATATCATTCTTTAAAATACTAATTTGCGTAGGAATAATTTTTAATCTTTACATTATATCCTTCTTTAAATCTTTCGTTCTTTTAAAATGGTAATTTGCATATGAATAAAATATTTTTTAAAATAATCACGTTCCATCTCTTTATGTTTGCCATTTTTAAAATAACCTCTTTTCTTGTATGAATAAATTTCCTTTTTTATCACATATTTAAAAAATAATAATGATATCAAAATATAAAGTAAATTTTTATTTCTCAATTTTTTTCCTTGTTAATCTGTTTACAAAAAAAACACGGTTGTAAATATATACGTTATATCCTCCTTTAAAGCTTTCCTTTTTTTAAAATGCTAATTTTCATAGGAATAAATTACCTTTTTTTACACGGTTGTAAAAAAATAAAAAATTATCAATAACACCCTTTATGTTTCTAGAAAAAAACACACGGTGGTAAAAACATTCAATTCCTTCCTTTAATATATCCTTCTAAATTGGTAATAATACACAACCAATCATAACCGCAAATCTTTTTCGTACATTGATATCAACGGTGCAGGATTATAGTGCATTGGGCGGGAAAAAAATTCCCCTGCTTTTAAGAATAGAGTGATTGAAGAATAATTATGAGAGGGATGTGGTAACTTTTTGCGAGACCGGGGGGCAACTTGGCATCTCTCAAGACCTGACGTTAGTGAACATTTTATTCTACTTTCAAGCGACTAAGTTACCCAAAAGTCATGCCCTATGATCTCGAGTCTACATACTACGGGTGTATAGATGCTTTCAGGGAAGTAATAATTCACTAATTTATGGAACCGAAATAAAGAGGAGAGAGAGGAAGAAAAAGAACAGAAATTCTAAGAGTAACAGAAAAATAACATGAGGCAGAAATGGTAATGTCTATAAGAGAAGAAACACAGGCAAAAGAGCATGTGGGAGACAAAACATGATGGCAATAACAGATCAAAGAACTTGAATTGCAATTAAAAATATTAATTCAAAGTTAAATTGAACAGTAACCCACAAATTTCAACTAATTATACTCTCGGTATGATAAATGATGGATCATATATCATCATCATCATCATTCCAACTAAATACACAATTCAAGTAATTAATTAATTAATTAACGTGGCCCTGCGCACCATCCCCGCAGTAAAACCAGCTAGACATACATAACTTAAAATTCAATTGATTGATGTTACACAACTGGTTTGTTTGTTTGTTTTTTGTTGTTGGACTATTCTGCCCCTCTGCTTTGGTGTTTCAACTCATAACCCTCCCACATATTCTCAGCATTGTTACTGTTGTCACCCATCAAGAACCTAAGACTGTTTGGGTGATTATTATCATTTGTGGGCTGATGATGATGATGGTGATGATCAGCAGCAGGAAATGAACCTGCTGCTACTGCATTGTTGTGGAACAAGTTATAGTTAAAACAATCTTCAGAACTAATGTTGTTCTCTTTCCTTTTCTTGTAGTTTCCCTTGTTAAGGAAGTAGTTGTTGATGGTGAGCCACTTGTCTCTGCACATGGAAGCAGCAGCATTACTATCATAGCCCATATAAGACATCTTGGCTGCAATCTCCTCCCAAAGAGCATCATCTGAGCACCCAATGTGCTGCTGGAATCTTGATTCCATATTCGCCCTTAGTTGGATGAGCTTGCTGTCTCCAGCTGCTGCTGGTGTCGCCCAGTTCTGGTCGTGGAACTGGGCGACATCATCAGCAGCTGCAACTGCGGGAGCTTTATTATTATTATTATTATTGCCCCCCAGTTTGTGCAATGCCTCCAACAAAGCGGCATCCCTGGCTTCGATCCAGGCTCGCTCGTTGGCCCAAAACCTTTGTTCCCTCTCCATCCTATCCACCTCTTGCTTCCTCCACTCCTCTTCCCTTGCCATCCTCTCTTGCTCCTTCTCTTCAATCCCGCTCATCATCCTCTCCAGCCACTCGTCTTGTTTCTCAATCAGCTTCCTCATCTTCTCATCTATGAACTCCTTCACCTTTAACTTCCACCGCCGCCGCCTCCTCATCCCCTTCCTCTTCCTCTCATTCTCTCCAGTACTGTCCCCGGCGTCTTCTTCTTCTTCGCCTGACGAAGTGGAGCCAAAATAAGAGCATTTCGAGAGGCTGAGGCTGTCATCGGCTGCTAGTGGCTTCGATACGTAGAAGTTGGGGTTTCCACCCGAATCGGTTTGGTGGTGGTGATTTAGAGTCATCATGTAGTCTGAACCGTTGTGGCTATTGGTTTGATGATCACTACCATTATTACCATAGAGAGCTTCCAGCTGTCTAAAAAACCTATAGTGTTTCCCATCTTGCCTTCCTGCTTTCCCATCTTTAGTCTTCTTGTAATATTTGTACAAGTTCTCAAATTTCTCCCTGCACTTCTTCCCAGTCCTTCTATATCCATGTTCCTCACTCATGATCCTATATATAACAGAATCCCACGCAAAAAGTTCACCACATTAATTGCCAATAATTTACTTAAACAACAACAACTCTAATAGCTTGAATTGTTTTACCCTTTTTTAATTAAAACAGATTAATTCACGTGATTCTGATCGACATTTTACCCACGATCGGCAATATCTTTTTCTTTATTTTGTTTTCCGAATTTCCTAAAAGTTCTTGGGAAACAAAAAAGTTTTGGGAGGGCTGTTAAGCTCAGATTAAAAGGCTTTTCTTTTCTTAAAAATTAGAGAAAGTATATGTGGATCCGTGGTTTTTTTTTTTTTGAGGAATAGGTGGATCTGAAAACAATAAAAAGCATATATACAGGAGACACACGAATACTACAAACAACTTTTTTTTTTGTCAATTTCTAGTATACATTTGTACTAAAAACAAATTGACGTTCAAAGTTGTAGGGATCGATTGTGAGTGTGAACACTAATTTTTATGTTGGGTAACATGAAAAAGAAGTTAAGAAATGATTTATTTTGCATTTAAGACACACCACTGTGGGCTGAAACTGAGAAAATAAATAGTGGTGAGAAGAAGTTTTTGTTTTGAGGTGAGAATGAAAACAAAAATAAACAAAACAGGAAAAGGCAAAAAAAAAAAAAGCATAAAGAAATTAGGTCAAATATTGTGAGCTACCTGGAGACTTCATCCCACAAGGGACCTTTGTGATTAGCTTCTTTGAACTTGGGATCGAGTCGTGATCTGATCTCAAGAAGAGTGAGAGTTTCCTGCCTGGGCCACCTCCCGCTGCCGCTGCCGTCGAATCCAAGCCCGCCGCCGCCGCCGCCAACTCCGGTAGTCTCCAGCTCCAGCCCGCTAAACCCAGCACCACCGCCACTCGAAGCAACGCCGCCGCTAGCGGTGGTCGCGTTTGTGCTCGAATCTGCAAAGAACTCATGATGCAGCCCCGTCGTCGGCCGATGCGGGGCCGCCGCCGCCGCCCCCATCGGTGCCAACACCATGTCGTAGTGGTGATGCGTCAGTAACACGTCCGCCGACGACGGCTGCTGCTGCTGCGGCGGCGGAAGTGAGGTGAAAAACGACGTATTGCTCATAAACTGTCTCAGATCCGCCATTCCATAGTGATCCTCCATCTACTATGTATGCCTTTAGGAACTATTATTGAAACCAGACAAAGATCGAAAAGCAAGAAAAGAAGAAAGAAAGCTAAGGAAGAAAAGAAGCCAGGAAAAGCGGTGGTGGACGGTGGCCGGCGGGCGGTGGCGAAGCGGCAGGACCGGATCGTGTTCTTGCACACCAAAACAAAAGGGTTATAATAATAATTGATAGGAAGAGTATGGACCCATCTCTTTGTTCTCCGCAAGTAAAGCTAATTAAGCTTTTCTCTCTTTCTCTCTCTCTATATTCCCCATTGAACTCTCATATCTCAATGTATGTCTAGTCTACCACGCACTACATACGAATACACACACACATATGAATAAATGCATATTCCATCTACTATGTATGGTAGAGCTATATTTAGTACATTATACGGAGTAGTACCTTTATATATATATAAAGACACGTACGCCTTTTTTTATACATACATGCATAGAGGAGACAGGATGTACGACTTTATGGGAGAAAATAATAATGTGGTGGCAAATGAGAAAACGACAAATGTCGAAATACTGGGGATAATTGGAGTTTATATGCTTTCTAGCTTAAACTTCCCCTTTGATTACATATATGCACAGTGATCTTGATCCTCCCTTTTTGACCCTTCTCTCCTTCTCTCTCTCTCGTCAACAGTGCTGTGTCTACCGTGCGACAATGGACACTTTCGCTGTCTCTTCTCCCCACTTCCATCATCTGTATGCATCTCGCTTAATATTTGTATTCCTCTCTCATTTATAGACTACATTTTGGGCATACTTTCTTAATTACCTACCTCAAATATTTCCCCCCTTTTTTTATTGTATTCTAATCAAGATTGGCAAACTTAAACTCTAATTGAGTAAAATTGATATTAGATATTTATACAAAAGTAACCTATTAGATTTATTTTATAAGACATTTTTAAAATATTGTTTTATTTAACTAATATGCAATATAAATTTTATTTAGTTATTGATAAAAGGTTAATAGAAATTGATTGCAAAAAATAAAAATTTAACAAATACTAGGAAAAAGATGTATCATTTAATCTCAAAAGAGTTTATTGAAGACTATTCCCTCCGTCCCTCAATATTTGTTTGAAAATATACAATCTTTATTTTTCTTAAAAGTCAAAATAAGATTTGTTTTATGAAACACAGAGAGTAGTAAATATGGATACAATAATAGTTTTATTAGATTTTTTACATAAAATATTTTGAAAATAATATATTATCTAATTAATATACAATATACTCTCTCCGTCCCAAAAAGAATGGGACGGTTTGACTTTTTGGGAAATTAAGGGAAGGATATTTTGGTATTGACTTTCCAAAAATACCCTTGATGTGATGGGTAAAAGTAGAATGTGATGGGTAGATTATTAGAAAAAAGCTATGATGTGATAGGTAGGGTATGAAAAAGTAAGGGGTAAAAGTGGTTTTTTAATAGAAATGTAACGAACTTTACGGGACGCAGTTTTTTCTAAACGTAACAAACTTTTTGGGACGGAGGGAGTATATAGCAATGCAAGAGAAGCTTAACCAATTCAAACACAATGATGTTTGGGAGTTGGTGCCTAGACCTAATGATCATTTCGTTATTGGCACAAAATGAGTGTTCTGTAACAAACTCGATGAAAATGGAATAATCACTAGAAACAAAGCTAGGCTCGTAGCTAGCTAATGGCTACAATCAAGAAGAAGGCATTGATTATGAAGAAACTTATGCACCGGTTGCACGATTAGAGGCTATTCGTTTATTACTTGCATTTGCATCTACGATGGATTTTAAACTCTATCAAATGGATGTTAAAAGTGTAACACTCAAAAAACATACCCTAGAATTATTAATGAACAATTTTTCAATAAGAAATCATCCTACGTAGCACTCTAAGTCACTTAATATTACGCATATAACACTCCTTAATCTTTTATACGAATTTAGCTATTTATAGTGTCAATATCTTCCAAGCATACCCTCTATTATATTCTACCTTTTATTATATTCTATTATTTTTAATTACGTACTTTTAATTTTTTGGTTAAACTTAGATTATTCACGTAGTCACTCCTCCTCATATGTGCGGCTCCTCCTCATTCATGTGTTCATACGTGCGAGAACATCATTCCACACTGTTTAAGTTCTATACTTAACGCCCATGTTTAACCAGCGTGTTTTAATGTAATAGATTATTTATGAAATCAGTCATACATTTTTGGGTAGTGTGGAATTCATACATAAAAAGAGCTATGCATTTTTAGGGTAGTGTGAAATTCATACATGAAAACACTGCCACATAAATCAATGGACATTACACTCCAACATGAAATTAAGGAACACAACAATGTACTTACACACTGTCATAAGATATAACAACATATATTCATTCTACACTGTCACATTAAATACTCACATATAAAAAACCACACTGCCCACTACACAGTTAGAAGTAAACAACCACACTGCCCAAAATAGTCATACTTTTTGGTAGTGTATAATAAATATTTGTTGTTTAATTAAAGGATACAATCAGAATCACATGTACGAAACATATAGCACTGCTATTTAGAGTATTTTAATTCTCTAATAAGAGTGCTATTTTGGGTTTTCTCTCTTATTCAATTAATCAAATTTGTTTTAATTAAAATAAATTATTGTTGGGCTTTGGGCCGAAATAAAATGTGTTTTGATATTCAATATCACAAATAGGATAAATCTCATTGAGATAAATCTAATATGTTGATTATTTGTATGGTCTTGATTGGGAACCAGAGTACAGACCCAAATAAAGAATAAATAAAGAAATTGTTTAAGATGTAAACACCGAAATGATTTATTGGAATAAATCATGAGAACAAATGATATGAATTAAATGTGAGAACCTTTTTTAATAAAGTCAATTAAACCAATTTTGACTCTGTCAAAGTCAAACACCCAAAAATATGATGTCGGAAAAAGTATTACAAATAAATATAAAGATTATATCATTGAATAGAATTTGACTGTCCGATCGTAACAGTGCAAACGGAATTCAATTCAAAGAAAGCTGGACCAAAAGGTGTACCCCGAATGGGACCAAATTAGTCCCAATAAGTGGAAGACGTGTAAATCCACAAGTGCACCGTTCACTCCTCTATCGTCATTCGAACAGGAAAAGGTGACACAGCTTGGCTTTTCCTTACTTCTCCTCCTATATAAGGAACCCACTCCTTCTCAATTCTCCACCATTCTTCCTCTTTCTTCTTCCATTTTGTTCCTAAGAGCGTGGAGAGTAAAGTGGTGCTGCCCAGAGAGCTAGAGGTCGCCGGAGTGGGGAGTTATTATTGCCGAAAGTTTTTTCAGAAAATTCTCAAAGCCTCCATTAAGTTTGGAGGTAAGCACGTAGATATATCTAGTGACTAGAATGTTCATATAGACCGTTTCTACGTTCATAAATGGTCGTTTGGTTGAGTTTTATGTTTAACATGTTTGAAGAACCAAGAATCCTAAACCTTGAAATTGTTGTTAAAATTAAGAACTAATGACTCTAAAATGATCTGTGAACATTGGAGAACATTTCTATATAATTTAATTGAAGTTTGGTGACATTAATCGATTAACGCATTCTGATTAATAATTCATTAATAGATTAATTCATGTTGATTAATAGATTAATTCATGTTTGATTAATAGATTAATTCATGGTCGATTAATAGATTAATTCATGGTTGATTAATAGATTAATTTATGATTGATTAATAGATTAATTCATGTTAATCGCTTAATGAATTCTGATTAATTGGTTAATAGCTAATAATCAATTAATTTATCCTACATAATCGATTATCTCTCTATTTCACTGGAGCATTTGATGACAGAAGCTATTAATCAATTTTCCATCTCCATTTAATCGATTATTTTATGCAGAAAACTTATTTTAAAACATATTCTTGATATCAAACAAATATGATCTAAATGGAAATGATTTCTAGAAATAAATTAACAAATCCAATAACCTTATATGATGCATGACAGTAAGTTAGAGTGTTAACACTCGAAACTAGACCACTATTTGCAATCAATTGTTATGTTGATTGATGATTATTATAAATAACGAATGATTATGAATAATGAACCTACTGGTTTAAATTCTTGGAAAACATTTTTACTTTAACGTTTTGCTAATGACAATGTTTGTTTTCGTTTAGGTTTTGATATTGACAAACCGTTAGGAACATGGGACAAAATGAAAAGATTCAAAGTCATAGCAAAAGCTCTTTGAAGGAACAAAAAGTACAAGAAATGCATTGACGTTTGTTTTGAAGGCGTTGTCTAAAGATTTAGGTTTTTATTGTAACATGCTTATTCAATTTCTCTACGTCATGGCTCAAAACAAAATATGTTTTCATGCATCAAATGAGTTTTTTCATAAATGGTTTTATGTTTCTAAAACCCCGTGGTTCTTGCCCAACCAAAATCATAACTTTCGGTTATCAGCGTTTACCTATGGTGTTCGGCTATGGCATTCGGTTTTCGGCATTGGTTATTGGCATTGATTTTAGCAAAATGTTTTTTGGGTTTTTATCTTTTGTTTTTGCTTCTGGACACATTTTAAGGTTTTCCAAATGATTAGTTTTCAAAAACCATAACCTTTGTTTTCCGGCGTTGGTTATCGGCCTTTGCATTTCAATTCACATTTTTTGTGTTTTCTTTTTGTTAAAATTTTTGTTTGTTTTTTTATCTTTTTTTCTTGATACTTTTATATTATTTGTTTGTTTGTTTACGAGTTTTTTGTGAACTTTTTTTGTAAAATTTTATCTATTCTCTTAAGAAGTGTTTTATTTTATTTTTTGTTTTACTTTTTTATTTTTTTGATATTGTTTTGTCTTATTTTTTTTCTTTATCCTTTTCTGTTTGATATTTTTTATATTTTAGTTTTTCATAAAAATGAAGAAAAAAATTAATTAGCATTTTGATTCGTTCTTTTTTGTGGGTTGTTTTCTTTTTGTTTATTTTATTTGAAAACAGACAAAAAAAAAGTTGACAAACAAAAAATATCAAATATCAAATAAAACAAACAAAAAAGAAGACGTGTGGTACAATCTTTTTGTTTAACTAAAATGATTAACAAAATAAAATAAATTAATTAATAAAACAAAATAAGAAGAGTAAGTGCAACATAAAAAGAGAACAACCCACAAAAAACTAATCCAAAGGTCAATTAGTTTTTTTACTTCATTTAATGAAAAAAATAAAATATAGCATAAAAATAAAAAATGTTCAAAACAAACGAAAATAAGACAAAACAATATCAAAAAATAAAAAAGTAAAACAAACAAAAGAAATAAGACAGTTCTTAAAAGAATAGATTTTAAAAACTTGATATTTGTTTGTTTTATTTGATATTTTTTGTTTGTTAGCTTTTTTTGTCTGTTTTCAAATAAAATAAACAAAAACATTAAATGTTTGGTACATTAATTTTTTTTAACTAAAATGTTCAATAAAATAAAACTCATCAATTAATAAAATAAAATAAGTCAAATTAAGAATAAGTGAAACATAAAAAGAGAACAACCCACAAAAAAGAACGAATCAAAATGCTAATTAATATTTTTCTTCATTTTTATGAAAAAATAAAACATAAAAAAATAACAAACAAAAAAGGATAAAGAAACAAAAAAATATCAAAAAAAATAAAAAAGTAAAACAAACAATAAAATAAAACACTTCTTAAGAGAATAGATAAAAAACTTACAAAAAAAAAGTTCACAAAAAACTCGTAAACAAACAAACAAATAATATAAAAGTATCAAGAAAAAAA